ACTTTGCATGTTTAAATAATTACTCGAATTCGCATTCGAATTCATATTTCAACTTCATCTTTGCTTGGGTTCGCTTGAGCTGGCAAAGTCCTTGGGTTCAATTATTGGACTTTTCTAAGTCTTGAAATATTAGTACAAATTCCAATTTCCAGGCTTTACCAGGATTTCACGATATCCGCATTCGAAGTCATATTCGAGTTCGCAATTGAATTTGTTCTTTGCATGAGCTGGATTTGCATAAATTTAAGTTTAAAGAGGCTGAATTTGTCAAGCATAACTACCAAATAAAGTTCGTATAAAAATGAAACCATTTCCTTCCGAATTGGTAGATCCTGCATATGCATATTCATGCCATTATAGAAAATGAATATCTACGACAACCTACGACTACATTAATAACTGTCTCTTACGGTATTCAGTAATACCTTCATATGCACAAAATTACTTAGGGAGCTATACACTGCCCCATCAAAACTTACCCTTTGTTCTCGTGCTGAATATCAAGTATCATTCGTTGCAATGCGAAACCCTGTCGACGTTTGTGCTAATTACATTACAATCCAGTTTTGGGTGTGAATTTGCATTTGCTTCCTTTTCCTTTGTTAGCCTAACGCATTTTGCAGAACCCTCCGCCAGGGCTTAAGTACAGCACACGACGTCTGTGGCGATTGGGCAGATGTCAAAAGTCTCGCACATACTCACACGCGCATACAAAATAGAGCACAGAAAGAACGTGTCGCCGCAATTGGGCAATTCACGAAGCGGAACTTTTATGGGACGCCGTCACTCGAGGAACTTGTTCAAGAAACTTCACTTTAATGGCATTTCATGACGCCACGGGAACGTGCTGAAAACAAAAAGGTTCTAAGCGATCTTCACTTTTTATTGCCTTTTGGCTGCACACAATCACGAAAACACGAGCAATTCGAAATTGCACTTTCGAAACTGCTTACCGTTTATTGAAATTTAGCTTTAGCCAGCGCAGCGGTAGCCGATACGTTTTGCTCAAGTGTCGCTCTACGACTGACTGCAGGCCAGGCTCAGGCGGTTGCGTCTGGCGGCGTGTGCTGTATGGGAATTGAAACATCGCTGTCGACGCCGCGTCGACGTCGTTGTCACCGTACTGCAAAGTGGCGTCGGCGTCTGCGACTGCGTCGGCAGCGAAAATAGCCGAATGCTTCGGCTGCACTGTGCGGGCACGCGAGTGATTAACGAAGCGTGAATTCCAGCGTTGTGAGCGAGCGCATTGCGTGTTTTGTATTAAAGGTGCGCAGAGGGGGTGGGTTTGTTTACAATTCGCAAATGCGGGAGAGCTCAGTGGATGGCTGGAAGAGACGGCGGTTGGAAATTCAAAAAGTTTAAAACGGAAGTGCGTTAAGTTTACATAACTGTGAAGGTTAAAGTTCTTAATAAATTTGCGTGACAATAAAATAATGAGTTTTTGAGATCAACTTTGATTAATGGAACTAAGATGAACAAAAATTGTATAAATTTTTCACCTTCTGTTTAAAATAATTAATTAACGTATTTTTGGCCCTTGCGCTCTTCTACTTTTTCCTAGAACATGTCTCTTTTTGCACGTGGACGCGAGACTAAAAAGAGAAACAGTGTGGTGATAACGGTCCCTCCGCTGGTAAAGAAATCGAGCAAGAGCCGTTCCTTTCATTTCCGTTATTTAGAGCTGTGCCGTGCCAAGAATTTGACACCAGTGCCAGACATACGCTCCAATCCGAATGCAACCACATTTCTCGATTTGCTGGGTGATAAGCTGGGCGTCAGCGAATGGCTACTGATTATCGAGGCACTGCACTATGATCTAGTGCTACAGACATTGGCAATACGCATGCGCCGCACCAATGGAAACAGTGAGTGGTGACTGCACCAATAATATAAGTGTATATATTACATATTAATTTATTTTGAATAGATATTGTTTTACCAATTGACACTGAAAACCGTGCACGACTCTTCCGTCAAAAGCCGGTCATATATACGCGCTTTATTTTTAACAGTCTAGTGGATGCGATCTCCAATTGTGTTAAGCTCAACAAGAATCTCACCGTGTTGAAGCTTGAGGGTCTGCCTCTGCAGGATGGCTACATTGAGTGCATTGCCAAGGTAAGGAACTGCCCAACCATGATTTTCACCATCTGTTCTTAGTATATAATAAGTTTCTGTATAAGTTCTTTGTGTTCCAAGTTACCCTATAAACCTTGAGTATTTTATAGGGATTTATTTCAATTTTATTTCCATTTCAAAGGTGTCAGATATACATACAACAGACAGGACTTTATCTACCCGGAAATTTTCTTATATATATATTGCTTATAGGATCTGTTATATAATTCGCAATAAGATTAATATACCGTGTTTACCTATTCCCATAGGCTTTAGCCTCCAACGACTGTCTCAAGGAGGTCAGCTTCCAGAAATCTTACATTGGCGACAAGGGCTGTGAGGCAGTTTGCAGTACCGTCAAATACTTGAATCACGTGGAGATATTCAACATCTCCGAGTGCAATATTAGCTCAAAGGGTGCTGAATATGTTGCTGATATGATTAAGGTATGTGATTGGCTTCAGATCTGAACTGGGCTGGGTGGGTAAACCAAGTCTTTCCAGATGCAAAAGATAACGCGGTACTCCGAGGGCTGGGAGAAGTCGCTGCGATATCGCAGCGTCGATGTTGATTCGATTGCGGGTCTACGCTACATTGCGGTGGCCAACAATCCGGACTTGGGCGACAATGGAGTGCGGCCAATAGCCGAGGTGCTCAAGGAGGATGCCTGGGTCAAGAGTGAGTAGACTGAGGGTAAATTTGCAATCAACTCTGAATCCGAGCACATTCATCCAGCCGTCGATATGGAGAACTGTGGCCTGACCGACTGTGGTGCGAACATAATCCTCGAGTGCCTCAGTCTGAACAGCGCCATCACCGAGTTCAATGTGCGCCACAATGCTGGCATTAGCAAGTTTCTCATGCGCCAGATACGCGATCATTTCGGCAAGGAGGACGAGGAGAAGATGAAGGAGCCGAAGTACGATTTGACCTGCATCAATGGCCTGCAGAGCTTGCCGAAGACCCAGAAATACAGCATCTCCCAGCTGCTCGCGCACATCAAGACGCTGGAGGAGCAATTGTCCTTGGAGCGCACGCTGCGCAAGAAGGCCGAGAAACTCAATGAGAAGCTCAACCATCAGCTGATGTCCATGGGTCAGGGCGCAGCGGCTCCGTTGATTCCACCACCGCCGTTGCCGGAGAAGGTGGTCGAGACCACAGCTCTGCCCAAGGGCTATGTGCTAGTGAAGAACGACTACATGCAGTCCTTCAACAAAACGTAACTAATCATCGAATACATAGTCGATGCATTTTTAATTCCTGCAGTCCTCGTCTGCTCAGCAGCTATAAAAATGGGCCCCAGCTGGTCACCCCCTCCGGACCGCTGGTCAATAGCGCAGTCACCAGCTCGGACTCCACGCCACGCAGCGCCAACGCAACTCTACGGAAGCAACAGCAGCAGCAGCAACAGCAACAACAACAGCTCCAGCACCACCTGGAGTTGTCGCCTGAGGATCTGGAGGTGGACGTGGAGGATGATGAGGAGGACGAGGACGATGAAGAGCAGCAGCAGGCCTATCAAGCAATGGCCGATAATCCACAGTTGCGTCAGCAGCTGCAGGTGCGCAAGGTGCGCAGCGAGATGAAGTATGTGGAGGCATATGCCAAGGAAGCCAAGAAACGTGAATCCAAATCGGATCATGAGTTCGCCAACGAACGTGATGTAAGACCTGATAGATAAACCATTGAAATATCAGTTGATAATTTCCCATGCCTCTTGCAGTTCAAGCTCAATCCGAATGTCCAGTTCGAGGTGGACATTGGCGACAGCTGCCTGGTCAACGAGCACCAAATGGAGCGCGAGCGCTACGAGAGCCGTGAGGAGATCGAGTACTATGAGCACCAGGAGATGATGCAGAAGCAGCACAGCAACTCACACTATGAGCCCGAGTACATTGGGGATTGTGTGCGCAACGATAGTCACAAGAATAGTGCCAAGATCAAGAAACAGTATGGCGAGATAGGCAACAGCCAGATGGCCTTGTACATGGCCGAGCTGGAGCGCAAGATTAATGGCAAGTCGGCCAAGAAGCGTCACAAATCGAAGCAATCCATGGACTCGCCGCACGGACGCGAGGTGAAGAACAGCGACTATGTGCATGTGGAGACCTTTATGGCCAATATGGAGCAGTCTTCGCAGGACTCGCCAAATAACGACTCTGACTCCGAAGGCGAAAAGACGGAGAGCACGACCCGTGGTGCCCAGTCGGACGGCAATGGCAACGACAGTGGCAGCGGCATGCAAGGCATGAAAGTATTCGTACGCCGCACTTCCCACTACGAGGAGGATCAAGAGGAGATCATTCAAGATAAGGATGCTGGCGATCAGATTGTCTCGCCGCGCACCGTCTATTTGGAGCTGCAGAGAAAAAAGCCTGAGAAAAATCATTGAACAATAAGCCGGCGCCCTCACACCACACAACACCTAAAAACTGGAAGTATTAGTAGTAGTCCAAACAGCTCGAAATGATAAAGGAAGAAACCAAGCGCCACACCATAAAGAAAACATTCAGAGCGTAGGACCAAATTTTCAGTTACCATTGATATCCATTCTAACGCTTGTAGATATTGATTTTGCACGTACTGTTGCGATTATTATGTACATATATAGATATATATATATATATTTATTGATATATTTATATATATGTATATGTGTATATGTATATATATTGGAATATTAATCTATTCAGCAGTTAATTGAGTAATCTAAAAAAAAAAAAACACGAATGTCAAGCGCCAATATTTATGCAATTTTGTTAATAGCAGAAGCAGAAGGAACACGAAACAAACGAATGAACGAACGAATCCACTGCAAAGCGGCTGCACGAACGTTACGATCAAACTCCCAATTTAGCCCCCCAATTGAAATTGTTAATAAATCAGTATTTGCGCCATCCTCGAATGATTTATTGGCCTTTTGATTTTGTTTCCGCTACTGTAGAATGTTATAATGGAATATTTACTTATTTGTCAATACAATATGTAGTTCTGCTAATGTTTAAATTTTCTCAATTACATGATGAGTAAGTTGATAGTGGATTAAATATGTCTGCTGCATTTATATCATATATATATATATATATAGTATGTGTATTGATTAATTCCAATCCCTTTTAATTGATGCGTCATTAAACTCTTTGTCATCGGCTCCTACTGCTGCATTTAACCGCCAAAGCCGTACAGAGTGCGTCCCTGGCGCTTTAAGGCGTAGACCACGTCCATGGCTGTTACGGTCTTGCGCTTGGCGTGCTCGGTGTAAGTGACAGCATCACGAATGACGTTTTCCAAGAACACCTAAAGTATTGAATATTAGGGTGGTTGTGCATTTTTAAGTATGACTAAAAGACTTGCCTTGAGTACACCGCGTGTCTCCTCGTAGATCAATCCAGAAATACGCTTGACTCCACCACGACGAGCCAGACGCCTGATAGCCGGCTTAGTAATACCTTGGATGTTATCTCGCAACACCTTACGATGGCGCTTGGCACCTCCTTTGCCCAATCCTTTACCTCCCTTACCGCGTCCAGTCATTTTGCTGATAGAAGTTTAGATTTACGTTGTGCTGAAAAGATACATACATTTCATCATTAGACGGCGCAATGCAAAAAAAAAAAAGGAATCGCCATTTTGATATGACGCCATATTTGAAACGTAAATGAGTGCAAAAATATTTAGATACAATGTGCTTTACGAGCACGCAAACAGACTGCACTAGTTTAATTACTTGCTAATAATTCAAGTCAACAAAAATTTTATTTTTTATTTTTTTTTATTTTTACAATTTGTTGCTGAAATGCTCACCAACCTTTCGAGAAATTTTTTAAGCAATGTGACTGTGTTATTGAACGCGTTAGATCCCAAAAAAATACTCAGTATAAAAAGTAGATATTTGGTTAAAAAAAATACCAAAACACAGGGTGACTTGGTTGGGTGATGTTTTTATGTTTAAGCACTAACACTAACCAGAGAACACATAGACTAGACATCTAGAACAAATTTTTTCACCGGCGAAAAAATGCGCTGAGGAGACTACACAACTTCGTATTTGCTCGGCTCAGTCTCTTGAGGCTCAAGCATTGAAAATAAGGCAAGACAAAATCAGTGTGCTGCGAGCGCTGCCACGAAATGCACGCATTACCAAATGAAGCACGGCTATGCGCTCTTTTTCCCTTGCTCACTCTCTCCCTCTCTTTATGCTCTCTCTCTATGGTCTCTCGAATGGCAGCAGCGCACAAAAATTGAAAATTGTTCGCGACGATCTGAGCTCGTTCCTTTTGAGTGAAGGGTATACCGAAATTTGTAAAGCGTTCGCCACGTTCATGCAAACAAAATGTAAGCGTTTCGATGGTTATTCGAGGGAAGGGTATGAAAGCGTTGATACGCATAAACAATATGATTTCGCGACGGGCAAGTACACACACACTTGTAGTCCCTTGCTTCATGTATGAGCATTTGTGACCTGCGTGCGTTACTCTTGCTGCTTGTAGCAATTTTAAAGCCCAGCATTTGCATTTGGTCGGTCTTATGGACTGTCATAACCACTTTACACAGATGTACTATGTATGAACATACATACATACATACATATGTACATAAGTACATTTATATATTATTATTGCTAATCATGTTTATAAATGTGTCTATATATAATTAAAATTATTTTATACACATTTTTAACCGAAAAAATTATCGTAAAACACTACTAACTTTATTAAATGCTTTGCAATATATGAAATACACATGTCATATTATACTCAAGCTTTACTCATTATGCATTATCATTGCATTAAGTCATAATGGCCCATTTGATAGTCACCCTACGATTCAAATCATACAAAATTTACAAAATAATAATTCCAGAGACAATTAGCTTGCCATCCCATACAAGCATACACATACACAAATGTATGTATGCATGTGCTCACTTCACAAGGCAGACCAACGGCAAATTTTGGGCTTTACAATTTGCACAGCCTGTTCTGCACAGAAAGAATACATTTTCGCGACGAGCATGCACACACACATTTACATCCTTGCTACGTGTATGTGCTTTTCTGTGCGTGCGTCGCAAAACTCAATTCTTTCTCAGTATTTTCGTCTATTATCAGCCCAAAAGTTGCACACATAAAAAATGCTTAGGCGACGACCATGCACACACACATTGTCAGTCCCTCGCTATCATTTGTGTGCTTGTGTAAGCAACTCTATTCTTGCTACCTGCGGCAGGGTTTGTAAGTATTGATGCCCATGTAAATGTGTGTGTGCATGCTCGTCGCGAAAATGTATTCTTTCTGTGCAGAACAGGCTGTGCAAATTGTAAAGCCCAAAATTTGCCGTTGGTCTGCCTTGTGAAGTGAGCACATGCATACATACATTTGTGTATGTGTATGCTTGTATGGGATGGCAAGCTAATTGTCTCTGGAATTATTATTTTGTAAATTTTGTATGATTTGAATCGTAGGGTGACTATCAAATGGGCCATTATGACTTAATGCAATGATAATGCATAATGAGTAAAGCTTGAGTATAATATGACATGTGTATTTCATATATTGCAAAGCATTTAATAAAGTTAGTAGTGTTTTACGATAATTTTTTCGGTTAAAAATGTGTATAAAATAATTTTAATTATATATAGACACATTTATAAACATGATTAGCAATAATAATATATAAAATGTACTTATGTACATATGTATGTATGTATGTATGTTCATACATAGTACATCTGTGTAAAGTGGTTATGACAGTCCATAAGACCGACCAAATGCAAATGCTGGGCTTTAAAATTGCTACAAGCAGCAAGAGTAACGCACGCAGGTCACAAATGCTCATACATGAAGCAAGGGACTACAAGTGTGTGTGTACTTGCCCGTCGCGAAATCATATTGTTTATGCGTATCAACGCTTTCATACCCTTCCCTCGAATAACCATCGAAACGCTTACATTTTGTTTGCATGAACGTGGCGAACGCTTTACAAATTTCGGTATACCCTTCACTCAAAAGGAACGAGCTCAGATCGTCGCGAACAATTTTCAATTTTTGTGCGCTGCTGCCATTCGAGAGACCATAGAGAGAGAGCATAAAGAGAGGGAGAGAGTGAGCAAGGGAAAAAGAGCGCATAGCCGTGCTTCATTTGGTAATGCGTGCATTTCGTGGCAGCGCTCGCAGCACACTGATTTTGTCTTGCCTTATTTTCAATGCTTGAGCCTCAAGAGACTGAGCCGAGCAAATACGAAGTTGTGTAGTCTCCTCAGCGCATTTTTTCGCCGGTGAAAAAATTTGTTCTAGATGTCTAGTCTATGTGTTCTCTGGTTAGTGGTTTAAGCTTACAAATTTAAAATACAAGTAATTTTTACACTGTTACTTTAAATACTTGAATATTTAGCTTAGTTGCCGGCTAGACTCATAACTGTACGATGTAGCTGCTTTTTTTGGTATTTAGCAATTACTTGCATAATTTCCATTTTTGCGTCGATTTTTAAATTTTCGTCCAGTTCAAAAACATCTTGTGCAACTGCCATGCCATAATGAAAACTTGGCGTGCTTTGTACATCATCTATTACGGGCTCAATGGTTATAGGTGTTGTCTCTTCAACTTCGGCATCATTATCCTCCATTGGCACATTTAGCTCCTCAATTCCAACTTGCTTTGGCGTATTTTCTTTGGAACTGCAGCATTGTGAAATGTGATCGTTGGTTGACTGTGTAGGACTTCTAGAATCGACATTAATTTGACTTTCCTCAACCACGCCAGAACTGACATTATCCGAGTCCTCTGTGTTGGCGCTATCATATAGATTTTCCGCCTACCGTTTCATTTTATAACATTTTAAATTAAATACAATAACATTAAATTTCAAATACACTTACATCCACACTGTTCTTATCGTAAACCACGAAAGGCAGAAATTTTAGCTGCTGGAAGAACTTCCACCCTTCCAGGCGCTTTATTTCCTCAGGCTGTGCTCCTCGCGCATTTGCATCGAAAATGGCCTTTTGCTGCAGACGGTAGTACGAAGCTAGATTTAGCCATTTCCGAGCCAACTCGTTTGTGTAGGCACGAAACTTATATCTTTTTTCCAGCGTCCATCTCAGGTTTTTCCAGAAGTTGTGTTTCAAATAACGGATGCTATAATCTTTGTGCGTCTTGTCCCACATATAGGGTGTATTGCGAATTGTTGTGATAACGAAAGTAATCACTTCATCGGACCAATATGGTCTCGTATTATCGTATACATTTGTCATTTGTAACAAGTATTTGATTTTTATTTATTTTTAATTTTGTTGGATTGTCTACACTTAATCCAATTTTCTTACGAACTGCAGCTGTTTTCAATAAGAGCGAGACAAATATACATGTGTTTGGTAAAATACTATCCATATGCATATGTGTGTGCTTATCGTCTTTAAAAACTACCAAAACAATAACAGTTATGAATCAGGAAATGAATTGTATCGAATGCAACAGCTTCTTTATAATTATAACAACAATAAAGGAACGCATTTGTTCGCCATAACTTTTACTTTAAACAATCAATCAATACTTCCTGATTTTTGAATAAATTGGCCATTATTATCGATACTTAGTTGGGTATTTTGATATTGATATCGAAAATGTTTGGTATCGATTTATCGATAGCTCAGCTTAGTATTTTCATTAGAAAAATATTGGCATTTAAGCGATTGGCACTGTTGGTCACACCACAAACAACGCAAGTGCAGTCGAAAAAAAAGCATTGAGTGTAACAGACGCGTTTTTAACGCTAGTTTTTTAACCAAAACAAGTGTAAGTGAAGCGGAGCAGAAGTGAAAAATCTAATTAGATCTAAATAAAATGCACATGCTCGGTTATATAATGCAATGAATGCAGCCACAACTATGTCGTGTCTGAGTGTGCTTATGCGAGTGCATCGAAATATTTTGGTCGCCTCAGTCTTCTGCTGCTGCTGACCAACAGTAAAAAGACCAACGCGTGTGCCGCTGCCGCTGTCGCCGTCGCCGTCTCCGCCGCCGCTGCCGCTGCCGCCTGCAAAGCAGAATTTGTCGCCGCCGTGAAACGAGCGCCATCGCAGCGCAACGCCAAGAGCTTCGCCGTGACTGCATAAAGAATAAAATATTTTACTATTGAACCGCGTGTCTGGAATTCTAAATAAACGCATATATATATATAAATAATATGTAAAATCGTGTTGCGCATTTGTGTGCGTGTGTGTCTGTCTGTGTGTGTATTTGCGTGGGTGTATATGCGGCCGCATTTTGTTTTATCTTTATATCTTTCATCAACACAGGCGCAAGCCAAATGATTCATTTGTTACACACTCGGCCGCCGCTCAGCTGTCGAAGTCTGCTTCTCTACGCGCATCCTGCTAGCACATACACAAACAAACATAAGCACATGCACACACACACAGACGCATAGTCGGATGATCGTATACGTATATTCGCCCATTTGTTAAATTAACCGTAAAACTCAGTCGCCAGTCAGCTCCGTTGTCTGTCCTCTTTTCGCCGGCTGCTTTCCATTTCTATCTCTATTTTTACGCGTTTTTCAGTTTCGGTCCATTCCCTAATTTTAAATCGGTTTGTTAAAACAATTTAATCCTGTTTAAAATTTTATGTTTCTCCTATCGAAACACTAGCAATTGTATTATTCAATTTAAACTTCCATTTAAAGGTAAGTTTTTTTAAATGCACTGCATGTAATTGTTAATTGTTGTTTAACTTTTTTACCGTTGTAATCTGATCTGAAGTTGAAGTGCTTTACATAAAATTAAAGTTGATAATTAAAGTCTGAAAGTCGGTACTAACTCTATATAAATAGGATAGATGTACATACATACATATGTATGTACATAAATAGCATACCATATCTATATAATATAATGACAATTATGTAGTTATATATTCAATGTTATAATCACGATCTGATAGTCTAATAAATATACCATCCATCGAGTGTCATATCATTCAGCTTCTGTTATGCAGTCTAAGAGCCTGGGATTTCAAGGGATTTCGTAGTCGAGCAGTCTCGACTAGAGGTTTCTTACTTGTTATTCTTCGTAAATAGCATTAAAGAGCTATACTCCAAGATATTTACGTATCTATAATGTTTTTATTTATTTTTTATAAATTTTAATTGAAAAAAGTTGTGTATTTTGTTCATAAACTTTTCTTGCTCGCTTGTCAATTGCATTTTGCATAAAGTTGTCTCACACTTCAACCTACAATTATTCTTGTACAAAGGCTTTTCCATATGTAAACAGCCCAAGTTGTGTGTGTGTGAGTATGAGTGGGACTGCGTGTGTATGTGTGTTTACACTGAAGAGCTGCGAAACACAAAAAACTAGACCATCAACATAAATGTCATTCACGGCTGCCATTAGCGTAAAACAGCAGAAGAACGCAACAAATGTAAATCCAGGGCAAAAAAAAAAAGAAAACAATACAAAAAGAAATGAATTCAAGGAAAAACGAGAAAAATATAGAGCAAAAAGATGAGAACCCTGAGCCGATAAGCAAACTGCAGTCAAATGTGCAAGCAAAGAACTGAAACTGAAACAATCGGAAGAGGGCAACTCCCAGCTCTAAGCTCCGACCTCCAAGCTGCCAACTGGGAATCCAAGCACAAGTCGGAGGAAATGGGTTTTGGCAAAAGCGCAACAAAGCCAAAGATAAAAGACATTGAAATACAATAACAATAAATGTCAGAAAGTGGAGCAATTTCAATTGAGAGCAAAGGGAATTTATAGAATATGACATCATTTATTCCCTTTATGAAAATTTCAATTCAAAGTTTGAAATTGAGCCGGAAAGCTACCAAGCTGTATGTAATACACTGTATATACTACATTATCTACTCCTGTAAATACTATAGATATTTAAATTGAAATTTAAAATGCTCTTCAGATAATGCAATGTGCTTGAGCCACTTGAAAGCATTAAATTATGGCAACAAATACTAAGCAAAGGAAAACTGATAATCAAACTTGAGATGAACGATAGTTAAGTGTATTAATACATATATATATATCTATATATAGACAGTTCTAGCAAATTATTACAATTCATCTTTCGTATGGGAATAGGTAAAGGTAGTCAAATAGTATATTACATGTTATCATGTTCATCATGTGATTTATATAAAGATTTTGCTGACTTTCGCTTTGAAATATATGCTCGAATAAATAAAGATAAGATATATGTTTCTTTTTTTATTATTTCTTTTTATACCAATATGTTTTGTCTTTAATTTTTATTTTTTATCGCCTATGAATGTGGGAATAGGTAAAAAATGTTAAATAAACTCTATAAGGCTTAGAAATGTAAGCTTTTACGCATACAGACACAGGACACACGAAGGGATGGATAGACCGACATATACACAGATAGGCAAAGGAAAGGGTGGTAAGACAGAGACATAGATAGACAGAGTAAAGGAGGAGTAGACAGACGAAGTACAGTTAGGAAAAGGAAAGTATGGAGAGACACGCATTCATAGATCTACTCATCTAAGAATTCTGATCAAGAATATAAATACTTTATTGGTTCGACCATACCTCCGCCATAAAATTTACTACATACATAAATACTTCGATTTCCAAATTCCCAGGGTATAGAAAGAGAGCTTACAACTTTAAATGCAAATGAGCAGAGATAAAATAAAATAAATCTCTATCTCCACATAATTTGTATTTAATTGCCTAGACGATACATCGGTTGATGAACTCGCGCAACAGCAACAGCAACAGCGACAGCGACAACAATTGCAACTGCTGCCGAGTGTGGCAACTGAATGACAAGAAGCAGACAAGCGACTGCATTATGCATGCTGCGACTCAGGACAACAACTCGTCACGTCTGATAACAATAACTAAGCGCGCGAGTACAAGAGACCATGATACTTCATACACTATATATATGCTACTATATAGTATATATTTTTTATTTAGTAACAGCATTTAAACCGCGATGCGATGCGATGCGGACGTTTTCTTGAACTCTGTGCAGCGTAAGTTGTTGTTGTTGCAGTCCGTTGGAGTTGCTGACAGTCGGAGAGATAGATGGACAGACAGGCGGACGGGCATAGAGCGTGAAGCTAAGTAGCTTTCCTTGCCACTTTCAGCTGTGTGGCAACAACGACATCGAGGACAAAGACACAAACACAGATATAAACTCAACGCAACTCAATTCCGTTTTCCTCTGTTTAAATAAAGTGAAAAACTTATTTTTCATGCCAAAACTTTTTGCTTTCCTTTCGTTTAACGCTGCATGGTCGGAAGGTTTTGTCTATTGATAAGATAATTGAAAGCCTTCACAATAAAGAAAAACCCAAATTTAGAAATAGCTGCTGACACAATTGTAATTAACAATTCCAATTTGGAATTCCTTTTGTTTTCCAAAGTCTTCGATCTGCAGCTTAGCAGCTTAGAGCGTTAATGAATTGGCTAATTATTGATCAGAGAACACGCGTTCGAACTGGTTTTTAATACAGAGATCAATTAAAATGCTCGACGATAAACAAATCAGAGACTCGTAGAATGCTTTGAACTATCGATTTGGAGCCAAGCTAAGGGTGTTCAAGAAATAGTTGTTGCTATTTTTATGCGATGAATTTGAAAAAGCTTAGAAATGGTAATAGATTAGACGAGCGAGAGAGAGAGAGAGAGAGAGAGAGAGCGAGAGAGAGAGAGCGAGAGAGAGAGAGAGAGAGCGAGAGTAAAATATAAACATATAGATATATTTATAGCTAAAATAAGGCATGAATAGATAAAGATGGAGATATATAGTAAAAGAGATAGAGAAGGAAAGATAGGTAGAAAAGAATGAAAGAACAGGATAGAGAGATACGGAAAATGGGAAAAATATCGACGAAAGAATCGAGAATGAATAAGGAGATATAGATGGAGATAGAATCATATAGACAGAAACATGAGCAAGAAATGAGATGAGAAAGATTTCTATAGAGAAAGAGAGTGATGCATGACAGAGGAACTGATGAAAAGAAAGAGCGAAGAAAAGGTATGAGCAGAACGGATAGAAGGAGGCACGAAATATTGAGAAAATAAAAAGAGAAATAGAGAGTAAAATGGAAAAAGTAAAATAGACAGACATTTATGTATGTAGATTCATATATAGATCGATAGAAACGGAGATGATGAAATGAAAGAAGAATTTGATAGCAATAGATATATATAGAAAGATAAAGAAAAAGGTTTAAAACGGGACATATGGAATGAACGCTATCTGAGATATGTGTATATTGGTAAAAGTATTGATAAAAAGTATTTTTTTTAATTTTAAGACTAAATGAAGATAACGCCTAACATATGTTCGATATAAGAAAGTCAGATATC